GGTTTTAGCAGTAAAAAAGCAAAGAAGAAATTGATGCGCCATGACATTGTTTGGCATCCGATCTTAAGCACAATCACGACCCACCATAAAGTAATTAAAAAAGCTTAGATACGAGATCTTCAGGATCACAACTGAAGGTTGGATCATGGGGCCCATTCAGTCAGATTGACCACAAGGTCGTTATAATAATTAAAAAAAAAAAATCATCATAATTAAACTGAAAAATTATTCTTTAGTGACGTCAACACTTTCACAACAATCAATCGGGAGAAGGTACTAGTTACTCTTGACGCTAGCATTGTGTCTCCCATCGATCAAATAAAGAGAAAATACGTGTTGTCCTTGTTGTAAAGGCTCATTTAAAGGCACAATAATATCCCACGGAAGGCCAAACCAAAAAACTTTGTAAACATTACTATAAAACACATTTAAGTAAAAGCCTCCCTGTCATTGTAGCAAAACCCCACATTTAAATGTGAAAGCAAAATTAAATACAATTATCCTACCAATTTTTTTTCTTAATTTGATCTATTACTGCCACGTCAATTTTAATCATCAACAACATATGTGCAATTTTTTATTAGAACTGGCAATTAAACAAACATGTTGATAGACATATTATGTATAATTGAATGATATTCAACTAAGTTTTACACTTTTATGATATTGTGTTATAAAGAAGAAAGAAATTAAAAACATTATGAATTGTATCGTTCAATAGTCAATGAACCTTTCTGCATGAACATTGGAGGTTACATAAGGGTTTCCATAATGGACACCCGACGCCTCTCCATTGGCCGAGGCGCCTGTCGCGTAGGGGCTCACAGGCGCCTCGGCCAATGGAGAGGTGTCGAGTGTCCATTATGGACACCCGGATGTAGTCCCCAATGTACAACAAGCATAATACAGTTAATTCTATTTACCAGGTATTCTCTTAACATATTCCTTTCATACTATTTAATACCATTTAACCAATTCATCAAAAATAAAAATGAAAAAATCTGCACGTTGAAGTAAAGTTCAAACAGATAGTAAAATTACTAAACATTATTATTTGGTGTCGATTGAACTTAGATTTTTAATAGACTCGAGTGAAAGTTGATGAAATGCATTATTACAATTAATTATTGAACTTAACTCGAAAATTTAATCGAATTTTAATATACACCAAACATGGGCGATATACATGAATAAATAAAGACATAACTTGGCATGAATAAACTTGTTTTGAGGTGAAATGATCGAGTTTGATTTGCGAACTTCATAACTTTGATTGTAAGTCCTAAGATCAGCTGGTTCAAACTCGATTCTAAAATTTTTCAGTGAAAACTAGCCACCAATTCCGAGGCGATTTTAACATATATTTAGACTGATCATCTATTTTAAAACTTTTCAATTGAATTGATAAGTCAAAGTTTAATTTTAGCCCGATTTGATGACTATTATTTTGAAAAAAAGGAATTTTGAATAGTGACTTATTGGTGTAAGATTAAAATGTAGAAAAAATTTTAGATTTACGTATAAAATATTTTATTGTTTAAATATGTAATTAAAAATGAGTATGAAATTAAAAGAACTTTGTTTAAAAGGAGGACAAACATGGCCTTAGTTAACGTTGCAATTACCTTCAAATTAGACCATGACCAGGATTCAGGTCCAAACTGACCTTGACCAGTAAAATTCTCTTTGATTTCTTAGATCAAGTTTGATTAGTTAAAAAATTGATTAAAATTTAAGTTTAAACTAATAATTAATTTTCATCACGTATTTTATAGAACTTACAATTTTATCGTAAATTTCATTAACTTTTATAAAATTTACTGAGAGTATGTTTGGAACCCATTTTTATTTAAAAATGAGTATTTTTTAAATAGTAATTTTTTGGATAATGTATGATAAAAAATAGTGAAAAAATTTTAAGTTTATGAGGAAATATTTTAATAGAAAAATGTGTAGTTAAAGATAAATTTCAGAGAATGAGGAAAAAACATGGATTAAATAGTAAAAATTACACCCGATTAGAATTTTTAAGATTCAACTTCAAAAATTAGATTTATAGTTTTTATATACAAAAATCAGATGATAAAATTATGAAATATTAATGATAATATTACAAGAATTAAATTGTTTTACACATCCATCCCACTATTACCTACTCTCCCAAACCCTAATTATTTTCCAATCTACTCTTCTGCTCTCCGACAGTAGGATCGGAACCCCTTCCATTCTCTCTTCTTCTCCCATCTCTCTATACCCCGTTTCTCCAAAAACTGCCCCATTGACCACAGTCGTTGTTGCCACCATGCCCATATGAATGTGTCGCTCGTGATCTGTTATCTCATAGTATTTATTTTTACACTCTTTATATCGGTGCCCTTTCCATTCTCTCTTCCTCTCCCATCTCTCTTTATCTCCTCTCTCCAAAAATCAATGTTTTGAAAATTGATCCGATCATCTAGTGTCAAAAAGTTCAATTGAGGTCGAATCGGATGCAATAAATACATACAAAAATAATAAAATACTATGAAAATAATAATTTTAAATTTTTTTATATTAATAATTTGTTAATTAGATTCATTATTTTATAATTTGTTATGCTATTATCACACATTGAAAATTTACTAAACTATTGGATAGAAGTACGTCTATAAAACATTTGAGAGAGGTGCATCTATAAAAGGAGTATGTTATTAAATATTTCTCTATAGGCCTTTAAATTGTTGTTTATGAGGCCCATTCATAAAATTGAAATTTTTTAAATTAAAAAAAAGGGGAAAACCACGATCGGTTCACCGATTTTTGGTTAAACTAACTGGTTCAATGGGTTTTTAAATGATTCAGTCATAAGCGGTTAATCGGGATGATTGACCCGGTTTTGGGATTGGTTCCCGATTTTACCAGTTGAATCGATCGAGCCAGATCGATTTTGATAACATTGCCAAAAATTGCATCGTCGCAATGAAGCTGCGTCGAAATGTTGCCCATCTCGATACGTCGCCTATTGATTTGAGAGCGACGTTATCTAAGATCTTAAAGCAGCATGATTTGAGATACGCAGATGGGTTTAGATGACGATGGGTTTGGATGGCGCAGTGCAGTGGTGATGGTTTTACGATCGCTGTGGTTGCGGTATGGTGTGGTTGGCTATGTGGTTGGTGGTTGCGGTATGGTTGGTTGGTTGATGGTTGCTGTGATTTGTGGTTGTGTGGTTTTTCCGTTGTCGTGATTTGTAGGGGTATTTATGATTAATTATTTGGTTGATTAAAACTAACAAACTTGTTAATTTATGATAAAAAAAAATTATGATTGTGACTCACAATTTATTAGATTGTGATCGAGAAATATATTGTGATTATTTAATTTGATAATTTGTGACCATTAAATAAGTTATGACTTATAAAATTTGTGATTTGTGATCGATAAACAAATTGTGATCTATGAAATTTTTTATTTGTGACCGATGAATAAATTGTGATTTATAAAATTTTTTATTTGTGACCAATTAATTTGATAATTTTGACCAAATTGTATAAAAATGTGATCTTAATATATTTAATTAATAAAATATATTTTTAATTAATTATTTTATAAATAAAATTCAATTACTATCTAATTTTTGAAATTTTAAACCTTGTTTCTTATTTTTAAAATGGGTAATATCTAATCTCTTACCTAATTAAATATCTAATTTTTATATTAATCAAACTGAACTTAACAAAGCCGAACATCGTGGCTCACGTCCCCATCATGATCAAACCTTGGCCCCACCAAAGTTGCACAATAAACATTCATTCACAAAGTAATTAGTGCAAAACGTCATTACCTTCTAATGTTACTGTGCAAAACATCCACACATTTGATTTTTTGGCATTCTTATCTTCACCTTCATTTTTTTATTGAGAAAATCATCATTTTCATCAAATTTCATTTGTAAAATGACAAATAATCCCCCATTTAAATAAGACAATAAAAAAGAAAAGAAGAGCTAAAGAATAAATTGTAATCACACTTCCAAACCTTTTTAAAAAGAACAAATTAGTCCAAAAAATTTATTTAAAGGATAATTAGTACAAAACGTTACTATCTTTCATTATTATTATGCAAAACCTCTATATCTTTCACTTTTGGACATTTCATCCTTATTTCAAATTTCATTAATAAAAATCGTTATTTTCATTTATTTTCTCAATTAAAAGTTGTAAAACGGCTAGTACTAATTTTCTTTTTTAATTATTTATTTTTACTTTTTTTGAAAAAATTGAAAGTATGGTTGCAATTTGTTCTTTATTTTTTAAATTAATTAATTAATTTATTTATAGAGGAGTATATATTTATCGTTTTACAACTTTTTATTATAAAAATGAATGAAAATAACATTTCTAGCAATAAAATATAAAAATAAGGATGAAAATGTCAAAAAAAAGGTAGGGACGTTTTGCGTAATAATAATGAAAGGTAAGGACATTTTATGTTAATTATCCTTTTAATATTTTATTTATACTCATTTGCACTTTTTTAAAAAATTTGAGAATATGATTTTTTTTTTTATTATTTTATTTAAATAGGAGGAATATTTCTCATTTTACCCTATAAATTTGATGAAAATAAAGATTTTCATTCATACCTGTTCTCCATCATGACCTCGTCCAACAAACTGAGGGCATTTTTGTCGAATCACTTCGCTAATTCTGGGGGCCGGAAGAAATTCTACACATTCTTATGGATTCGCTGACTTTGACACGTCATTATCCAATGCCTTATCTCCTCCATGTCATCAACGGTTCAGATCAGTCGTTAAATACTCATTCGACGGCTGGAATCCAACGTTCTAGACAATTCGAAAAAACAGACCACCACTCATTTTTGTACGTGACCCGGTTCGATTCGATTCGATTCGATTCGGTTCGGTTTGACTATTTGCACCTCACCGTAACTTTAATCACTGTAGAATTTATAAAATCACGCTTAAAAGTGTAAAAATGTTTTATATATATAACTGTACATTCACCTGCAGATACAGAGAGAGAAAGAGCATAGAGCGCAGAGCAAGAAAGAAGAAGAAGAGAAGAGCGGGCTTTCGGTGCGGCTATTTGGGGAGAAATCTGAGATTAGAATCCGAGCCGTTACCCCTTCTTATTGTGTTTTTTCAATCCGTTGGATTGTTTGAATTTATCCGAAGTTCTTGTTTCAAAGGTATTGTATTTAACGGAAAGAGGAAACGATGCTTCAGATCTGGCCGTTTATTGAGCTATTGCGTTCAATTTGTATTTATATTTTACGATTTATTTAGATAGTTTGGTACTTGGATTAATTTGACTGGATTAAACGGGCTTTATTGCCGAAAGGAGGAATTTTCATAGTATTTGTGAAAAGTTTTTACTATGTATGAACAAGATTGAGTTTGTCATAATGCGTAAAATGTTAATAATGGCATGGATTGAGTGTAGAATTAATGAAATTGTTAGATTACATTCGGTGGGTAACATGTACATTGCCGGGAATAGCTGATTAACCTTTTTCCCCCTAGAATATGTTATAGCTTCATAGTGATTTGATATTAGTAGTTGAGGCAGAATACTCTTTACCAAACCTTGTAAAGCACTTCATAATCCGTGCTTCCCCCCCTGCCCCCTCTCGTTTGATAATTATTTATTCCTTGAAGGAATTTTGAATGGTTAAAGGTGGCTGTTTTGAGTATGAATGCTACAAGCTATTTTTCCACAGGATCTCCCCTACAGTATCGTCATCGCGGTAGAGAGTTTCTTTAAACACTTGAGTCCACCTGAGGATGAGTTTCCTGATCTAAGATCTGATCCGGTCCTTTTCTTGTCTGCAGATTGCTGTCTGTTGCCTTGTCTGAATCACCTGATGGCTCTCTCAATGTAGTGATCCGATATTTCTCGCTCTCCTTAGTTCTGTGTTTTAATATATCACGGCCGTTGTCTGTTCTGTTTTCTGGTATTGTTGGTGGCCGGCAGATTAGATCTTTGTTTTCTGACAGATGGTCATTATTGTATCAGATATTTATCTGGTTCAATCACAATCGGCATCTGAGTTTGGCGGTCAATTGAGAGTGACTGAAAGGCTCTCTTCCTTCGCCATCTCTGTTGCCGGCTGTGAGAAGAACCACCGCGGGTCTTTCTCTTCTGTTTCTGTCTTGTAACTTCAATAGCCCTCTTCAGACCCAAATGGCTGTGGCACTTTTCAAGAGTCCGTTTGGTAACAGGGAGTACCATGAAACCAATAGGTCTGAAGGGAAACCTGCTGGAAGGAGACGTGTTTTTGTGCAAACTGAGACAGGTTGTGTTCTGGGAATGGAGTTAGACCGGAGTGACAATGCAAATACGGTGAAGAGGAGGTTGCAGCTTGCCCTGAATTTTCCCACTGAGGAAAGTTCTTTGACATTTGGTGATATGGTGTTGAAAAATGACCTCAGTGCCGTTCGAAATGACTCCCCGCTTCTTTTGACACGGAATGTTATGCATAGAAGCTCTTCAACTCCCTGTCTGTCACCCACTGGTAGAGACATCCAACAGAGGGATCAGAGTGGCCCGATAGAGATACTGGGGCACTCGAATTGCTTTGCCAAGACCAAACAACTTGTTAAGGAAATTGTCAAGGCAATGAAGAATGGAGTTGATCCACTCCCTGTTCATAGTGGGCTTGGAGGGGCGTATTATTTCAGAAATAGCAGAGGTGAGAGTGTTGCCATCGTGAAGCCTACGGATGAAGAACCGTTTGCACCAAACAATCCCAAGGGCTTTGTTGGCAAAGCTCTTGGACAACCAGGCTTAAAACGTACAGTGAGGGTTGGGGAAACAGGATACAGAGAGGTGGCTGCTTATCTTCTCGACCATGATCATTTTGCAAATGTGCCACCCACTGCATTGGTGAAGATCACCCACTCGATCTTCAATGTTAATGATGCTGTGAATGGAAACAAGCCTCAGAGCAAGAAGCATGTCAGCAAGATTGCATCCTTTCAACAGTTCATTCCGCATGATTTTGATGCCAGCGATCATGGAACCTCAAGTTTCCCTGTTTCCTCTGTGCACCGCATCGGTATATTAGACATTAGAATTCTTAACACGGATAGGCATGCGGGTAATCTTTTAGTTAGGAAGCTTGATGGTGTTGGGAGGTTTGGTCATGTGGAACTTATTCCTATTGATCACGGCCTCTGCTTGCCTGAAAGTTTGGAAGATCCGTATTTTGAGTGGATTCATTGGCCTCAAGCTTCAATACCATTCTCAGATGATGAGCTTGAGTATATAGAAAATCTTGATCCTAGTCAGGACTTGGAGATGCTGCGAAGAGAGCTCCCCATGATCCGTGAGGCTTGTCTACGTGTCCTGGTCCTGTGTACAATCTTCCTTAAAGAAGCTGCTGCATTTGGGCTTTGCCTTGCTGATATAGGTGAGATGATGAGTAGGGAGTTCCGCAATGGTGAGGAGGAACCTAGTGAGCTTGAGGTTATATGTGTCGAGGCAAGACAGTTGATTGCTGAGGACATGACTCCTAAGGCTGAAGCTGATGGGGAGGAATTTCAATTTCACATAGATTACGAAGATGGAGGATCCGACTTAACAACGAGATTGGCCTCTGAGGACTTAATGGCAGATACACCTTTTTGCTTGGGATTTGGATGTGTTCATGCCTTTACTCCCCTTTCGAAGCTAGAGGAAACCATTGAAGAAGAAGAGGAAAGTGATGGAGAAGAGGTGGAAAAGGAATTCACCGGGGGTCCTGCCCTTGAGAGGATCCCGACTATTTCGAAGCTATCTATGTCGCTTAAAAATACAAACTTAAGCGAGAAGATCCATAAGTTCCCAAATTTTTCTGGAGGAAAACCTGACCATGGTTATCTAACTAGTTCATCTTCGGGTCATAGGAGTGCGAATGAGCAGCTTCCCACAAGTGTGAGCTTTGTGAAGCTAGCAGACATGAATGAGGAAGAATGGGCAATGTTTTTAGAGAAATTACAGGGGCTTTTATACCCGGCATTTGCTAAGCGCAAGTCTGTGACGACCCTTGGTCAAAAGCAAAGACAGAGGCTCGGGACGTCATGCCAGTTTTGAGAGAGTTGCTACTACAATAATTTGCTATTGCAGTTGGGAGAATAAGGTGACGGTCTTTGAAAGGACTTGTAGGGTAATTTGGTTTATGCTTTCTCGTAGAAGTTGCCCTAGGTGGGAGTATTAGTAAGATGAAGTGATGTAAATATTCTTTGGAAGCAGCCGAGGCAAAGCTCTTTGTAGATTGGTTATGTATTTTTTCCTTGAACGTTTTAATTTGTTTCATTCTCTTGTCGATGTTGTTGAATAAATAATTTGTAGAATGACATTTTAAAGAGGAAAGTTGCATGATGTAAATATTGATCCATGTTTACAGTTTTGTTGCTATTTCCATTGGTTTACTTGCGTTCATCCTTGTTCAGCTTTGTGTGTCTTTAGGTGTAAAGTAAATCTTTGCATGAACAAGTAGTTATTATTTCTGCTTTGTTTGATGGTTCAATGGCTATTTATTTGAACCTTGGTTTTTTGATGAGAGTGGAGAATTATAAATGTTGCTGCCCTATAGCATTATTTTGAGGTTTTATAGAATTGTACTATGTTGATCATTTTTTTTTCTAGCAGTAACTCTTGGCCTTTCTGTTCGAGCAGCCTTCAGTTTTTATATTGGTTTTTACAAGTCTCGAAGTCAGAATTATTTTATCACCCATTCTAGATGGTTAATTTTTGTATCGCTACAGAGAAAACGTAACACAGATTCCTCCGAGTGTCACAAATGACATAAAGAAACTTCTTTGATGCTGATTCTCAAAGCAGCAATGAATTCAACTATCAAGGGCCCCTCATCAAAAGATGACACAAACTATTCGATGCTGTACCTCTGAGTTTGACGTCTTAGTTAATCTAGATTCATGATGTTACTCTGTATTTCGAAAATAAGTTCACGAAAACCATCAATATCCTGATTTGAATATTTGATGGTAAATTTTCTCGATGTTATCTTGTCAATGAAAGCAATCAAAGACGAACTGAATGTACAATTTAAAGATAGCTTAGGAGATAAGCAGATTATAGTTTGGTGAAAGTCTCCATCATCAGCAGTCATATCATGCCCATATTTGATAACCTTTATTTTCAAATTCCTCCTTTTTTGACATACTTTTTTCAATTATACGTTCACACAATAAAATATTTTTCATGTAAATTCAAAATTTTTCCATATGTTTTAATCACACTTTATTCTAATAGCTATCATATTGGGAAGATGACTATATGATAATATAACTTGGAGGTCTAAAACTTGGCAGTTGGCAGGCTAGTATGCTGGCCTTGATTTGTATTTTTGTATTATACTGCAAATTGTTTTGGATTGTGACTTTTATTGTAAGTCTTAACAGTAAGTATACACGTAGGAAAATTCAAATAAAACTTAGTTGGTTTGTTGTTTCATATAGAGTTAATATTCGGTAAAACCAAATATAATTAGAATATTATTTAGATAACTGCTGAGACATTTACATAATCTGTGTCATAGATAGCTCCTCAAAGAAAAAGCATTGTGTCAGTGATTAACAAACATAGGCAGCATTACAACATTTTCTTTTCCAAATCAATCAATAAATTACACAATTTATATTTTAAATTAGTCAAAAAACTCTCCGAAAAACGGGAAAAATCCTGCTGCAGCCATTCTACCTGAACTGTATATGAAACAACATATATCAGACATGTCTCCAAGGCCTTTCTGCAAGATTTACACACTCACTATATCTGTAACAATCAACAAGATGATCAATTGTCATTCCTGATGCCCCCGGGGCACATCCAAATTAGCGGAATAATCACATTGGGGGGTTCTGGAACCAAGTGTGGGGAGTTCGATTCCTGGTGGGAACCTTTGATCCAATAAAGGAGGAATTATTGGTGGATTAATCACTATCCAAGGCCTTTCTGCAAGATTTACACACTCACTATATCTGTAACAATCAACAAGATGATCAATTGTCATTCCTGATGCCCCCGGGGCACATCCAAATTAGCGGAATAATCACATTGGGGGGCTCTGGAACCAAGTGTGGGGAGTTCGATTCCTGGTGGGAACCTTTGATCCAATAAAGGAGGAATTATTGGTGGATTAATCACTATGGAGAAAGGCTCCTTTTGGGGAAAGAGTAAAAGTCGTGTGGGAACCTGGGAACTAACAAGGGCATATCCCGCGATTTACCTCCTTGAGCTGCTGAGGGGCCGGAGGTTCAGGGACGAGGATATAATCTGGTGCAAGCTGGGACACCTCGTTAAAAAAAAAAAAAAAAAATTGTCATTCCTGATGCTTGCATGAACGAATACACGAACGGGCCCCACTAACTGGAACCCGTGTTTCAATAAGTCCTTGCTCATGGACTCAGCTTTTGGACTCCTCAGGGGTACATTTCTAGGGTTTTTGAATTTGTTGATCACTGGTTTGTAACTAACATAATCCCACATGTAGCTACTGAACGACCCAAATTCCCCCACAATCTGTAAAAGGATTGAACCGTATTACAATTACGAAATATGTCACATCCTGGGATAGTCCATTCTATGCTACAAACGATCTTTTTCTCTTTTTTTCCCCCTCCTTTTAATTCGTAAACAAGTTAGAAAAAACTTGCCTTTGTTATGCATTTTGCATTGTCTACTGTTCGCGAAATTTTGTTTATTCCGATTTTAAATCCACCGCAAGTGTACGGTTCGTTAACAAATAGTAAAATGGACTATAAGTCCAAGTATCGATCCCACGAGGGTCGAATTAGTTCGAATTAATCTAATATGACCTTAATCGAAACTCGACAAACAAGCACTTTAACTAACAAAATGTAATTATTGATGCAATTATGGGCGAAGAATTATACTAAGTTCAAAGTAACTTGGATGCAATTTAACTAAAATTTATAGAATTAATGGATGTTCTAACTCACTAGGATCACAAATCCCCAAGCAATACCCATTCAATAGTCATTTATGCAAATTTGACACACAATTCCACAAAAGATGAATCGATATTCCTATTTTAATTTAGCAATCTCTCTCAAATAATGTCAAACCTATCCCAATATATGATTCGACTATATTTCTATAACGAATACTAATATACCGACATGCATTATAATTCACGAATATCCAATGATTCACACAAGGCATAGATGTATATTTATATCCTCTATCGGACCTTATGACGATTTATACTATGTCGAACCTATTTTCCTTCTTTCGAATGCATAAAACCGGTCACCACAATCATATAATCACGTACACAATAATTATATGAAAATAAAAACGAAATAAATTAATCAATTCCGGAATTTGTGTTCACATACGTCAAAAATCCAAAACAACAATTAAACGTAGTATTACAAGGTTCATCGATCTTCTAATAGTAATAAATCTAGCCTAACATTCTAAAAAGACAAAACTTAAAAGTATTTGAAGAAACGACATTACCCGTATCAATATTCAATCCGATCATCAATTGGCGCGATGTTGTTCTCTTATTCTCTCCCTTGTTTCTTCTTCAAAATCTCTCAAAAACATGTAAAAACGGCATCAATTTCGTTCTGATCGAGTTTTTGTATTTATAGAACCCTAAAATTGTTGTTTCCATAAGAGTTTCGGGAAAAAAGGAAACTAAATTTTTTTCAAACTTTTGTTCTATGCTAACCGCATAGAGCAATTCTATGCGGTCGCATAGAAGAAATTTATCAAGCCTATTTGCTTTCGGTATGGTCCTATGCGACCTCATAGAGGATAATAATAAGCGGTCGCATAGGACTATCAACTATGGAGAAATTGCATTTTGGTCCTCCCACTTGCATCCTTCATTTCTTGCATCTTCTCTTCATTTTTTTCATTTCATCACCCCACGATATCGTCAATTGGTAATTGATCTAATCAATTTCTCGATTTGTTCATCGGATCAACTTTTGGATATTTGCACTTTTGGTCCCTGAACTTTCACGTTGCGTCACTTTAGTCCTTTTTCACGTCTTTTCTCCTGAATTTCAACATATTCATCGTTGTCTCCTAAAATTCACAAATGTACAAGATTAAGTCATAATTCAATCATTTTGCTCGTATTTAAATCATGTTTGTGATCTAAATAAGTGTGCAAAAACACACTTACCATCTACTATGCACCTAACTCTGCTTTCTGCTAAAGTTAGCTCTTTATGGGAGGCTATTTCAAGAATCTCTTTTTCGCCCATTTTAGATACATTGTTCGGATCAAAACCAGCAAAAGAATCTCTGTGTTGTTATCCACAACACAAGATTGCGTTAAGAATCTGAATTTCGTATTAAAATAGATAGATTTAATTCAAATTATAAGCAGAATTCTTACTTCAGAAGTTCCCTCCTTTTTAAGATTTCTATCCAATTGAAATCCATTAGCATCCCAGACATTGCAAGTACCTCAAACAACTGATTGTCATCATAAACTAGAACTCCCCAGCATTCGTCGTGGAATTGTACATAAACATCTTCCGTTCATTAAATCATTTGGTATTCATATTACAAGTATCCAGAGTAGTCACTTGAATCAACGCATACAAGGAAAAACCATAATCACAACTTTTGACCCTTGACAATGCTTAAGTTTAAGATTCTAGATGGGATGGTTGAATAGCATATTAATAATGAAAATATGGATTTTGTTTGTCTTTTCACATTATACAGTACTTAGAGCTTATGTTGCATAGTTCATGCCTTTGCTTTTTGTAGAAGTGCTTTCCGAGGAAGCCACTCTAGGCCAACTTCTTCTAAAAGCTCTTCTAACAAGAGGAAGCACCTTCCAAAAATTATTCAAATAGGCTCAAAAGCAATTTCTTAATTTCATAAGCAACTTTTGACGTTTCAAAAGCCTTGCCAAATGGATCCTTCCAAACTAAGAAGAGTCACATGAATCAATGCTGTGAGGAAAAACCATAATCACAACATTTGACACACAACAAAACTGAGGCTCTTAGACAAGTTAGTTTAAAAAAATACTAATACCAAAAAATAAGGATTTTGTTTGTAGTTTCGTATTGTATTTAGCCCCTATTTTGTGGGAATCAGATTTTTAGTAAATTTTATTAAAAGTTGATAAAATGTGTAATTAAAAAGTTGTGGCATCCACGAAACATGTGGTCAAGATTAATTGTTGATTTTGACTTATATTAAATCTAAATTTTTATTTCTACCAAACAGTGATATAGTCTTTAAAAACTGAGAAGAGTCTAATAAATCAATGTGATAATCTTACCACTATTGTTTGTAATCCAGTTGCACCTCCTTATGCCTCCTTCCTCAGTAGGAGTTGCACTAGGTTGACGGATAATTTTGTTCAGGTTGTACTATCAGTCGTAGTGCTGATAAGATTTTCTGATCAAGCGG